AATGTTCTTAGCAGTTTGAATTGTAACTACTCAGTGTACTTTGTGATACTGTGACGATCTGTACGACTATTTTTGTGGAAGGTTCCAGACTTGTGACGTGTTTCTTTTCGTAAAATAAATTTTTTCAACTATCATCGGTTCTGTGTTCATTCAATTCATTACGAACCCGTACGCACGCAATAACTTTTCTTGATAAATTCATAGTGAGAGTAGGAAGCAATTTTAAATATTTGCCTATGCCTTCTCGACCCTCTCTAAAGCTGCCCACTTATGATGGAAAGACCTCCTGGCAAGTATATAAGACTCACTTCTCTAAAGTAGAGGCCGCAAATAGATGGGATTCCCAGGCTAAGGCCTGCTATCTCGCCGCTTCTGTGACAGCAGACACAGCGATATCCATCAAATTCTGTCCGAAAAGCAGAGCTGAGATTTCGAAGTTGCATCCGACACGTTGTAGTTGTACTTCGGCAAAGTGTTTAAAAGACTATAACAGGCATCAGTAAAATCTCGCCAAGGGAAGCCCACGGAAACACTCCAGGAGCTCGCCACGGATGTTGAAAGAGTGTATCATCTCGCCTTTTCGGACTGCCCATCAGAAACAAGAGACATCCGGTCCCTGCAGTACTTAATTGATGGCATCTTGGATCCTGAGATTCAAAATGTCCTGCGAATGGCGGATGTCAAGGATTTAAAGAGCACTTTAGTATACGCCATGAAATTCGAGGTAGCCCAGCAAGCAACTCGTAGAGACCTTCACCCAGTCAGAGCTGCTCATGTCCAGGAGCCATTGGATTGACTGACTGCTCATCTAGATGATTTAACCAAGCCAATCAAGACCTTGATTCGGATTAGGAGTGGCAACAAATCGACCCTAAAGTGCTGGAACTACAGTGCTGAAAGCCACGTACGAAGGAACTGCAGAACACCCCAAGGCACGGAAGATAAGAACGCTCGTAACATGAAGGAGAGAAACTAATTAGTGGCCATCTCGAGGGGCGGAGATTGCCAGATAATTGGATTTTGCAATGAGTGGCGGTAATAAAGGATTTTTCTTCACGGGACGTATCAATGAAGTTCCTTGCAATATGACCATCTAATACTAGAGCCAGTGATAATATTATCCGAAAAGATTTCGCTCAACAATTGGAAAGTAAACTCATCTGGACGCTACCCTGCGTTACCCTCCAGACTATAAACTCAAAGTAGTGGAATGTTAAGCTTTAATATCACGTTTGGAAGTGCCGCCTTCTTTCACACGACATATGTAGCTGATATTACCGACACTGGGATTACATTTTCTACTAAACTACAATTCTTCCTTGAACTTAATAATAAAATAACAAACAGCAGAGAGAGCAGCATAACTGCCTCTGAGAACCTAACCGTGTTTGGAATTACAGATGAAGAAGTTAAATCTGTCCACACGTCAGGATGATATCACGGTACAGAACAGAAGTTTTACTACCTGGATCCATAGCTGAAAATAGAAATTTTTGGTACTGCATAATGGAATATCCCAAGAACTGTAATACTAGTATCCTTGACATTATAGCCACTCGTCGTCGATCTATCAAAGACTGTCATCCTACTGAGAGTTGCCAATATATGCATATATACATAATGTTAGAAATTGTTAGAATAAAAATCACAGAGTCATGATTCGTGGATCGAAGTCTCGTGAGATGGTCACCTTCTCGTGTGTAAGTACTAGTAAATGCTGCTTGAAAAATGCAAGTTGTATATAGTGTATGAGAATAATAATTGCAATTAATTACAGAATTAATTTACAAATTACTTTCGTGGAAAGTATGAATTCAAATAAATTTAAAAAGAACTTCTATGAGAACTGTAAATATACGTGTGCACCTCTGATCTATTAGGACTGAGTTTTTTTACAGGCATGATGGTAAAAAATGAAAGAATCGAGCCAAAAAACTTACCGTTCAACATTAAAATTATAAGAAATAAGCAATTTTCAGGCGTTTCGTTTTATGAGCTGTGCTCCCTTTTGAGATGTCCATTTCCAGCAAGACAATGGGCCATGCCACAGCACCAGCATTGTAAATAAGCGTTTCGAGAAACATGATGGTGAGTATTATTTAATTCCATGACGTCTAAATTCGTTGGAATTGAACTTAATCGAATAAGGTTTGAACTGGAGAAACAGTTTCGTGCTATGTACGGGATTTGAAGATCTGTCGTTGAGATCTCGGTGCAAGCTGCCTAGAATAGCTATTCTTCGTCGAATCGATATTTTGAAGAGTGGCCGGTGATCTGTGGGCTAAAGGAGGTTCTTCATTTTCTTAGCCAAATGCTTGTAATATAATATACTGGTTCTTCAGTGTAATATTCTATGATAGCTGACTTGTAATGTTTAGCCTACTGAAAACTAAGATCACATTACTGATAAATGAAAAGCATTCCCATGCTCATAATGAACTTATAATCTTATTTTTATTTTATTTCAGTTCTGCCATGTCACGTCTTAAATTCGGTATTTTACCGGTCATAAACATTTCGAATTAGGGATCTAAAGTCGTATTTATTGGATAAAGTTGGCTGAATACATCTCAGATAAATTAAAGTCGTGATTTCATTGGCATGAACGAAATCTACAGAATTTTAATTATTTGCTGTTTACAGTTTCTCAAATAAATTATTCCTAAAATTAAGTTCACTTATTAAATCAAGTCAGGCCTGGTACTCATTTTTAGTGGTTTATATTTTGTTGATGTGTAAAATCGATGTCTTTACAGGGTTTCATATACTATTTTACATTTCATAATTTATTTTTCTTAAATTAGATTTCGATGTGTAATAAGCCCATTTAGGTATGAAAATATCCTACATTTCCAGCGAAACTTTGTTCAGGCTTAGTTCACATAATATTTAAAAATATACTATACAGTAGAAAAATTTAATTGTCTGCAGTATATTTACTTATTATTGTAATGTATTTTCAAAGACTTGATAGTTTAACATTTTAATTTGGCCGCCTCGTGACGAATTTTTAGACTTTGTAAAACTGGCCATTTCGTTTACGTAATCGTTAAACTTACTAAAGGTTTAATTTATGTTATCAATCAACGCGACCTCATTACAGTAAATATACATTGCCTTTTCTAAATGAATCTCATTTCAAATTTCTGTCTTCATTTAAAACTGAAATGCTATCTCTTCTAACCATAAATAAAAGCGCTTGCGCATTATCTGTAAATGGTAAATGCTGTGAATATTCTGTGAATGAAAACTGCTTGTGTAGTATATTCAGCTCAGCATATATTCACAGATTGAAAACTCCATTAATTTTACTGTGGTAAGCAGGCAGTCTTCATTAATTACGTTGTGGAAGAGGGTTTAAACGTCATTCTTATTCGGGTATGTTCATTGTTTAAACTTTCTCAAAAAACTGTTTTAAGCATTTAAATCAAAATTTGTAAAAATTACATTGATAGTAAATTTTAGGCAGCGTAAAAGAAAAAGGTAAATTTTTCTCAGAGCAAAACAAGCGAATGTTAAATTTGTTTGTAAAACGGGCTGTTTGCATATGTCTCGGTGGATTTTCCTCAATTATAAAGTAAATATCAACATTACAGAAGTCAGGCTACCCCGATTAATACGTAGTTTCTCAGAGAAAGTTTAGTCTAAATTATTCCTCCTAAGACAGATACCTTTCTATTGCTTTGACTAAATTACCGAATACTTGGAAATCTTGTATAGAGGCAATGCTTTCGATTATAGCTCTCATTTTCCGTAGTGAAATTTCTCTCTGTCTTTTATTTTATTTTATTATTTTTTTTCGCTGGGGGTGATAGTTTTTCGTTGTAAATGTACGCATTTGCATGTAAGTTTATTTTGTAAACTGTATTAGTGAAAGATTTGTTTTTCATTTCTTACTCTAGTTTGTTGCCATTAATGATTCGATCATCAGGGCTAAATTTAAGCAGTACCACTTCTCAAATTGCAATGCTTTTTCATTGCATTTTGCGGTCTAAGACCGCAGAACGTTTAACATGTGTGAACTGATACATTGGCCAGTGCTGTAATTCAGATAATATATATGTTATAGCGAATTTTTAAAACTGTTAAAATATTACTGACGTTATTTGGGAATATGCATCACATTAAAACTGTTTTAATTGCAGTTCCTTCTTAAATTCAAGCCTATGCTGTATTTAAAATAAGCTATCGATATGATTAAAAATATTTACTTTGTAAAAAGCAACAAACATTCCTTTGTAAAAAGCAACAAACATTACTTTGTAAAAAGCAACAAACATTACTTTGTAAAAAGCAACAAACATTCATTCATAAACATTAAATTTCAACTGAAAAGACATAACTTCCTGAACATATGTAATGGTTCAGCCAAAAACCTTAAAGCACCTTTTTCTGACGACTTTTTTCTTTTTCTTTTTTTTTTTTTTTTTGTATTTTTGTCTTTGGTAATTTTGTATGCATATCACATACTCTTCGAAAAGCAACGTTTCACCTTTGCTGAAGCAAATAATTAGGAATGCATTAATTAATGAATAATTAATCAAAACAGTCTTTAAGTCTATGCAAAAAAATTTTAAAAAATCGTATCATTTCAAATCCATTAAATAACGCTGTCCCAAAGGGAGTTAAAAACAAATGGTTTCAATGCTGCGAAAATAATGTTAAGTTACATTCTTCCTCCTCCCTGGGAGAATGAGAGAAGGTTTATGGCTTATGTTTATTAAGAAATAGGTATCGATAGCCATTAATTCACTGTTAAACTAATACCTTTTCATTAAGCTGTGACCTTTGCGAAAAATGTTTGTAACCTAGATAAGGATTTATTAAAGCGTAACTCCAATAGAAGCCCTTTGTTTCTTCATGAAAGCAGAACAACTGGGTAATCGAGGGAACTGACGCGTCCCCAGGAATCGCAATCTGTCTAAATAGCCTGACTGAAGCTTACTCTTTATAAAAGTCAGTAGGGAAGAAAATAGCAATAAAAGGAGACATGCCGACTTTCGATGTGTTACTTTATGAAAGAGTTTGGCATTACGATTGTTATAGCCCAGACAAATATTGACTTATTTAATATTTGATTTGATTTTTCTCCCCTCAATTAGCGAAATTAGTTGCGATTTATAGCTTTCGTAAATTTCGCTTCATTTAGGTCGATGCGACGGTGAAATCCTTTGACTAAACGAGTACTGAGCGTTGGTTGAAGTTAACTGTCTCAGAAAGCGGTTACCCAAGTAAATGATGATTCGAGAAAAAGAAAACGATGAAATATGTTTATAAATGTTGCAGATTGAGGTAAGTGGTGATACAAATTAAATACGAGCGGCTTCTCATAGTTAATGTTTATTACTTTTCTCCTACTATATTCAGGCATTAATGTAAATGCTGTTCTTAAAAGAAAATTAACCCTTCTGTTATTAGGTTATGTGACGCTTTTCTTTTATATCAGAGCAGAAGATTTCAACAACGCTGAATTAGTTATGCATTATATTTAAAAGAAATGATGCTTATACGCTATGCAAAACACATATGCTCCCCAATTTCTTGTCCTGATTAGCTCAAGAATAAGCTGTCAAAGTCTATATTTAAGCTAAAATATTATACTTATGTTTTTTTTTTTTTTTTTTACTTATTACGTGCTCCGCCCTTAGGCACTACACGGAAAAGGAGGAATGCCCCGTGGAGGTCTTTTTAAGGGAAACTGGCTCGTATCCACGTTAACATGGAGAAAACCACGAAAACGCCCATGCAGCCAGCCCGTTCACCGGGACTCGAACTACCAGTGTTCAGCGCTTTTACCGCTCGGCCGCTCGTGGTCTATACTTATGGTTTAAAATTAAAACTACTACCTGGAACGTGTATCTAGAGTTTTATCATATCTGTCAGTCTTATAGTTATTCAAAAAAGCAGATTATTGTTATTGATCTTATTATCAGATTATTGTTGTTAAAATTAATTTATTTACAGCATGGGCGCTGCGTTAATCACGAGGCCGATTATTATCGGCCAGGAGGGTTGCAGCACCCTCGTATATTACCTTACCCAAAAGTACTAGGAGGTATGAAGTAAAATCTATTAATACCCAAAGTTATGTATATTATTTTTATATCTTTATATCTTTTTTTTGTTTAACTTTAAGAAGAATTTTTTAATTTAAAAAGCTACATGGAATGTATTACAGATTCCCCCATGTCTTTTAAAATTATAATTTTTTCCCTGAAATTTAAGTGCCTACAAGTGGCCGAGTGGATAAGACCCCTGCAATTTGACCCGGGTTTAAATTCCGTCATGGCGCCCAGACGGTAAACGTCGTTATCGACTTTGACTACCGTATCGAAGAGCACGGGTTCGAATCCCGAAGAAGGCATGGTTGTAAATTGTCTTATCTGAGGTGAAAGGCTACACAGTGGCGTGCTGTCTCTTCATAGAAGGCAACGGTGGCCCACTTATTATGTGCCTCCGTAATAAAATGACAACCGTTGTCAGCATTAGTTGTGGCTAACGCATATAAACAGCTAGAACCCGCCGTTGAAACACCCCCGCCCCCCAAAAAAAGTACGGTAAACGAGCTGGCGGCTTGGGAATTTTCATGGTTTCCTGCAGGAGTGAATTCCCTTAGAAAGGCCTTCCATCCCCTTAGCCCTAGTATTCCTCCCTTTATCCCTAGTATGTTATCCAAATCCAATTCTGAAATTTAATTTTAAATTGTGCATGGAATCATTAATGAAAAAAAAAATTTGATGAAATTCTAGTTGATGAATTTTTGATGACAACAAAAATACTGGAGGGCGTGGGCTCACATTGGTTGGCGGTACAAGAAGTTGGAGTTCATGAAATTTAGACATGACAAAAATTCATGGCATTGCAGCCTGCATCACTACAGCTGCGAGAAATATAGAACACTTTCGGGTTTTATTATAAGTGTCATGGAGCGTGGAACGGAAGAATCGGAACGGCAAGATTCAGTAAAGATGATGCCGCCCCTGCATTACTACTTGCAATGATAACTATGTGTGCTTGCTAAGGTTGTACATGCGAAAGCGGACAAAGGGCAGTTTGAGATTGAAATGTCCAAATAAATTTAGTTTCTAAGTATTTGTGCAATAATTTAAAAGTTAGATGCATGAAACTGAAGATAAAATCTTTTCATTAGCATTTATGCTTAAGAAAACTAAATTTTCCTGGAAATCCATGTTATGACAGTATCAGTATTAAGACTGATAAGAAAATATTTAATCGAAGCTATTAAATATGACTCTTAGCGGCTTGATCTGGAGTCTAGATAAATATCTCTGTCAAATAGTCAAATGATGAGAGATTAGTAATGGTTTAGCCCAGTTTATCTGCCTAAGGGAAAAACTGACGTCAATTTTGTAACCAGAATTATTAGTACCTAGCACTATATGAAGTTCTCTAACGAAAAATGCAGTACTTATAGGATCCAGAGAAAGATGCATGAGTTTTATCTGAAGAAAGATGCATATTTTAGCATTATAATGCATCCATTCACACAATTTCTTCAACTGTCTGCTGATTTATAGCTGAAAAGTGTAATATTTAGTAATCGATGGACATTTTCGGCGAAACTCTGATGGGATTAGTTGGAGTAATTAGAATATGTTATTAAACTTATGAAAAAATTAATTGGTTACATAAACCTTTTATCTTTTTCAGATTTATCGCATTTAATTTATTGCGACATAATGTCTTATAATTTTATGCATCTTGCGTTTTGTTTTTTCCGTATAACGTTATGCAAATAAAATAAAAAACTTATGAATGTTGTAAATACCAGTTTTGCGTACTGCTAGTTCTATCTTATTTACTATTTTGTTTCCTTGGTCACTTTTTCTTACAGTCTTTTTGTAAATTTTTACAGGTTCTTGTAAATTTTAAGAAGTCCTATAGCTTTGCCTTACACAAATTTATTTGTTAAGAATACAAAAATTCGGCCATTACTAACAATATTTTTTGATGTTTCGTCTTAATTTTATGTCCTTGTAAAAGTTTTAACACTTTTTGCAAGAAGGATATTTTCATTTTGAACATTTCTAAAAAGTAGATTCTATTCTGAATAGGCATTAATCATAAACCTATTTATTAAGCTCGTTGTTATTTTTGTTCCAATATCTGATAGGTAGGGTTTATGTTTAATAGATATTTGGTTGGAATTACTTTTCATATTTTCAAATTTAGTATTTTAATTCTTAAATCCCGCGACTATATGGCGTCTGAAATTTTTTGGAAGGTTTGCTTTCAATCATTTGTCTAATAAATATCAATTTAAATGAACAGCTGATTTTACCGGTGAAGACTATTGGAAATTTTGGAACGCGAAACAAGAAAAAGCAACCACATTTTTTCCGGAAGTCTAACCAGGAAACTTTCAGTAGGGTGAAGAAGAAATTTCTTAGTGTTTTTTAAATTTTTTTAGAAGATATAGTGTATTTTATTATGAAATTTCTAAAAATACAGTTACATCTCAGAAATTTCCAAAAAATTAACATCATGTTTAAAAATAAAATTTCACTTAATTTTAAGATCAGAAAAAGGACTTTTCAGTGGTGAAAAGCAGGTACTTAACCTCAACTTTGTGATACCGTGAGCACCAGTGAAATACTCCTGAATTTCCGACTACTATACTGCATTGTTGATGCAGCTCCTTGGAAAACTGATACACTGTGGCTGGTAACATGACCATGATGAAATTTTTATATAGGATGGAAAGCTACTTGTGGATGTAGTCGAATATTGTTTTCTTAATCTAGGCTGTCAATTCTGATGGCTGTATCATATTATGAACTATCAAGACCTTCATTTTGAGGAGTTTCAGTATATTTAAGCACATTGCAGTGTAAATCCAGGGACAATTTTCTGCTTCAAAAATCGTTACAGGAATCAGTATCAAATTTTGGACATGTCTAATGGCGTGGAGGATTTGCTGCTGGAGATGAATGATATTCTGGATTTAAGCATGTAGACATGTTTCTTCAGGGGAGTTCTTAGATAAAAATCTAGTGGGATTAGATCAGGAGTATCACACAGCACGTTTACTTTGGCAAAACCAATCCAGTGCCCTAGACATTGTAAACTTAAACATTCATGACATATTCGACTAAACTAAGCAGGCAAACAACTAACCAATCACCAATGATAACTTCACCAATGACAACACTTCTTATAAAGAAGGAAAGAAAAAACTTTTGTGACCTTGAGGGGTTTCCAACATAATTATGCTCTGCAAAGTGTGTTAGAAAATCATGCTGAAAGTTTCAGTAATATTCCGTCACTCGTCAAAATGATGTACTCAAATAACACTGTTTTTATTGTAAGGTGTCCTTTCGTCACCCATTAGATATTCATGACTGAAGTTAAAAGAAATTCGGGTTTATTCATCTGTTTTATATCTGCAAATAAATCTGATTTTATGTTTTGGTTACAGAGATTTATATTTTCGCATGAAACAGCCTAGAGAATTCCACTTGACTGACTTTTTTGGTCAAATAAATGGTAAGGTTCTAACCACCTTGAAAGAGTTCTTTACTGTTCTTATCATTTGAGAAATCACTGTTAACGTTTCCCTTATTTTAACATTCGTGCCTTAAGCTCGTTTATAACATTTTTCTAAAGTTATGCTTGCGTAATTGTTATGTTTTAAAAATGTGCAAGCAGAGAAATACTTACTCAAAATAAAATCTTCGTTATGAGTGGTAAAATGAGATATTAGTGCTAATAAAACGCAAAATAGTTCATTGTAAATGTAAGTTTAAAATGGTGTATTTATTGGTGTATTGAAAATACGACAAAGCACACTAGGGCTATCTGCCTAAGGGAAGGGATGCCTTCGTAAGTTTAAAATGACGGTATAAGATGGATGCACATATATTATGACAGTAGTAAATTAAATAAACATAAACCTTATTGTCAGCAATCCAAAAAACGGAAATTATTTATTATTTCACGAATACCCAATTATTTCGCAATAAGGATTTAATTAAACGAAAATTACAATTATTTCCATATAAATATAAAAACTACTGTACGCTTTATTATTGTAGCTTTTGTATCAGCGCAAACAGCAGAAAAAGTTTAGTAACTACTATAACATGCCATACAAATGTAAAGAAAGACAAATATTAAAACTTCATATCTATATATAAAAACCACCAAAATGAATCCTCTAATCTGATATCAGCACTAATTTCTAAAATTGCGCCACAACTGGTATAAAAATCGAGAAGTCTGTGCACAATTGAAGTAGCTCGTGTGTAACTGTTATTAAATCTGACGATTTC